ATTGAGCTAATATTAACTGAGTGCAGTAGTACGTTGTCATCCTGTATGTGAAACCACCATTAAAGGAAGAGACATTTTGCAATTGAGTTTCACAGTTATTTGCTGACAGCAAAGGAACTGAGACTCCAGAATACCGGGGTCTATTCCAGATGCTTAGGGTGTGTACTCAAGAGGTTACAGACCTTTCTGCCTCTAGCCCCTCCAGTCTGTTCTCATCCCAGTCCCTTACTATAAGGGAAAGTTCATGGTAATCCTGAAAAATACCATTCTCTATGCCAAAATATTTTGCTCTGAACATCTGTGGTTCTGTCCTATGTCAGCCCTTGTTAAGAATCTCTTGCCACAAGAACTCTGTTGGTAAAACTATTCACCAGCCCTATTCCATCTATAAGAAGCAAGGGAAGAAAAAACAGCAGTGACAACTATGCAATTTCCCACAACAGAAATAGCTCAACTTTATATTTCAAGAGGATTTCCTGCTCAAAACACAAGTTATTCATAAACAATAGGGCAGATCGACTAAACAAATCAATAAGAAATAAATTTATTAACACAAGATAATTTTACCAGAAATTTAAGAACACCACAGACCCGACCCAATGTCTTTCCATGAAAATAAAACAGACGTGTATATAATGTGACTGTTTGGTGCATGAGCGCACAGGAAGATTACAAGATAAGTCAAAGTATCTTACAGCATCAAGAGAATCCCAGATCCTCTCGAAGTACAATAAAAAATTAAGAAGATTGAAAAATAAAAACTTAGGCTCTGAAAAGGCAAAATCACAGTAATATCCCCCATTGTTACTGCTACGAACATGGAGTTAGACCAGAGGAGGGCAAACTACGGCCCTCCTGCACCCCTGCCCTGAGCCCCCTAACCCTCTGCCTTGAGCCACCTGCCACATCCCTCCTGCACTGAGCCCCCAACCCTCTGCTGCACCACAACCCCCTGCCCTGAGCCCCTTCTTGCATACCGCACCGCTTCCCGCACCCCCTGCTCCAACCCTACATTCATGACCCTGCATACGATTTCCCCACTCAGTCAGTTTCCAAACATGTTTAGCGGCTAGCAGGACTCAGGCCCTTATCCCTCTCATTACATACCATAGGTTTAATAGAAGTGCTCCCGAAGGATTCTTTAAACCCTTTTCTAAAAGCTTTGAGAAGACAGAATAAAATTGGTCAGCTTCATTATTACATTTTGATGGGAAAGGCAATGGAAAAACATTTTCCAGGAAGAGAGCCTAGAACTTTATCCTCTCCTTACACAAGACTTTCCCTACTGTTGATTAAGGAGCATGTGTACATCCATGAGAGTCAAGAATAGAATCCCAGGCCTACAGCCAGGGAAGTTAGTTTAGGATTATAGGGGAAGATCTTATTAACTTTCCACTTCCTGTGAGATTCCAGATAGGGCTGATGCGCAAGGTAGCAAACGAAGCTTTGAGAGAGTCAAAGTGGACCAGTGTTACAGTGAACTCTAAGCAAGGACCCTTCAGTGGCTATGGAGGTTCAGCCAATCTCAAAACAGGAGAGCTAGGTGAGGGGCTTCCTGAAATCCAGATGCCATAGCAGGGTACTAATGTAGACAGCTAGTAACTAGGCTTTACCTCTTGTTTCTGGCACTATGCTACCTGGGAGATACAGGGGTTGGGGCAGATAACCAAAAAAGGAGGGACAGATTGAGCCTTTTGCTGCAAGATTTGGATGGGAGAGTTTTGCAATTTCTTACTGAACCTGTTTCACTTGGTGTTCTTCCACGATCATCCAATTTATGTTTTCTCCACATTTGCAATACATAACAAGGAAGAGTAGACCTAGCAAGCAATATGAGGTAGGGGGACTATTTAAGGCCACCATGGAGTAGGAGGGTCACCTCTCACTCTACTGTAGTTTGGGAAAAGGGATATTCATTTCATGAAGGAGGAGCAAGCTTGCCATTGGAGACTTTTGGAGGCTTGCCCACTTTGGGGAGGCGAGAGAAACCATGTCTGCACAAGGAGAGAGGAGCTCACAAGAGCACAGGTATTTACTGTGAGGAAGCTAAGCTCTTTTCTCTTTCCCTCTACAAATCAACTCCATTAGCTGATTAAAATTCATTAGATCATTGATTGTTCTGGTGATGTTTCTAATCCATAACTTGCTCCTACTAAAAGTCTGCAAAGTGAAGGGAGATTTATCACCACACAGTAATTATGACTCAAACAAATTCATAATCCCTAGAGATTATTAAAATCACTCTGTGCATAAGGAACCCTACACACCCATTACATGACCCTTGAAGACCCCATTCTCAATTGCTTTTTGCACAAACATTTCCCTGATCTTAAAATGAAAATGAGTGGAACAGCACTAGACTAAAATTTCAATGCAGGTGGAATTCCCTTCCATCAGCATTCCTAAACTCCAAATCAGAATACGAATGAGAAATGTGATATTGTGAATGCTTGCTCAGCAGTAAAATACAGCCTCTTTGCACATGTCAAAGATCAATGCTGTAAGCCTTTCTGACAGTGTTGGATATGACTGTTGTCTCAGCACAGAAAAACCAATACAATATTCCATTTTAGCATAAACTGATTAACACTGACATGGCAAAAATAAAAATTCTAAACCTTGCTCCTTAAAAAGACATTCAGATTGAAAGTGATTCAATGGATGAATGAATCAAACACCTTTAGCTTTATATTACATTGATTATTTTAAGTCCCATGGCTAGCACAGTACTTCATGTTAAAGGTGATATTAAGGTTCTTATTCTAAATTTTTGGATACAATTCTCCCTATTGCCAATATTTTAGATAGGCCACTTGATGTATTCCCTCTCAATGGAAAATTCCTGAAGACCTGTTGACTGGGAAATAGAACAACTTCTTTTAAACTGCATTCTTCAATTTTTGCATCCTCCATTCTTCATCTTTACACTGATTTTTGAAAACGCAATTTAAAGTACGTCCTTGTGGCCCACGCAGCTTCCCGCTGCTCCGACTTGCCAGGAACGGCGAATCGCGGCCATTGCCTGCGGATGGTCAATGTAAACAAACTGTCTCGCGGCCCACCAGTGGATTACCCTGACGGCCCACGGGGCGCAGGTTGCCCACCACTGGTCTAAATCTAAGCTGCTGCTGCATCACATGTTAAAACATTAGAAGACATTTTTCATACTGCACATTCCCAAAAATTTTCTTTTACAAATTTATAATTATGCGCCTTGGCAGTTGGAACATGAACTCTATCCATGACCAAATCCTTTTTCTTACATTATCACAAAGGGTTATTTCAGAGCTGGTTGTGAGTGCAAAAACTTTTTTTTTTTTGGGAAGGAAAGTGTTCTACAGGAACACTACAGGAATTCTAATCTTATTGTATAGATTCTTGTACTTAATCATTACGGCTTAGAAGTGGCTTTCAACTGGATTAGCTTTGTGTTGTACCTTGGCTTATAAGTAGCCTGCATCAGTCTTTAGGAATAAACAGGTCACCATCTCCCACTTTTATTCCAAGAATTCAGCTATAACTGGGGCTTGTTTACAAGGTAACAAATACCACACATTTGGAGGGATGGTGTTTCTGTTAACTTAGCAGCTGCGAATCTGTTAAGGTAATTAAGACAAGCGCCATACCAAAAGCAATGTTCTGTCTGACATTTCGAAGTAAATTAATAATTAAGCCTGGTTTATGACATTCAACTGGCTTCCTCACATGTGAAGCAGTTATACCAAATCACTTCACTTTTCCTGTGAAGTGAAACACTAATCATGGTTGAGAGAGAAAGAGAGTGTATAGAAACAATGAAGTGAGTGAATGGGCAAGGATTTGGAAAATATGCAACTGAAGCTGCAGGGGGATAAAAAAGGAACAAGACCATAGATGCCAGAGACATGAGAGGCAATGATTGAGGGCCCTGAATCTAGGTAAATTCAACTTTGGACATTTTTTATTTATTTATAATGGAGATATCCTATCTCCTAGAACTGGAAGGGACCTTGAAAGGTCATCGAGTCCAGCCCCCTACCTTCACTAGCAGGACCAAGTACTGATTTTGCCCCAGATCCCTAAGTGGCCCCCTCAAGGATTGAACTCACAACCCTGGGTTTAGCAGGTCAATGCTCAAATCACTGAGCTATCCCTCCCCTAATTAATGGGGTGTAGGGAAGAAAAGTATACAAGTAGCACAGCATCTTTAAAATGGGGATAATATTATAGCCTATTTCCCAGTAGTGTTTTTAGATTTAATCAGTATTTGAGAAACACTAAGATTCTTGGACAAAAAAGTCCTAAGTCGTAAGTATTATCAAAGTGAAGTTTCAACACTGTTTTAGTTGACTCGACAGGAGAATGGTTTTGAGAAGAGTGCTATGAATGGGGAACTGGTTCAGTCCTATCCATCCACCCACCCACACAACTACCATCGGCCATGACTTATATCCTGTCCATCACCATCATTCGACCTGCTGCTTTCACAATGCTCATTCTAAAGCTAAGACAAAAGAATTGAAAACCTCCCCCAAGGACACCAACAGGCACACTCCAAAAAGCATGGAGTGGCATTCACCTCCCCATTCTCTGGATGTCCTTGTTTTCCCAGGCCCAGAAAGTAAGAATCCCATGTTTCTTCCCAATAAAGGTGAATGGGACTTGAGTATGTATGTGATCATTCTGAGATTTGTTAAAATTTTCAATTACAAACAGAAAATTCCTTTTAACAATTAGCAACTACAGTGAACTGGTTTCTTTAGTCTGAATTGCAACTATTATATTATATTTCAAGTTAAGTGTTATTGCAAGAACAGTAATTTTCTAAACTATTCTAGCACAAACATGTGGATTTTCTATATTATTTATCAAATTTAAGACACTGACCTTTGGAATCTCAGTACCCAAACTTCATTTTTCCACTTTGAGGTGATGGGACACAAAGAATACAAGCTCTCCCAGTTTAGAAGCTAAATTTTCCTAGGTCTGCTATGCTGTTTCAAGTTCTATTAACTACTCACCATTGTTCCAAAGGGAATAGCCCGTGAAGCATGATAATAGATGGCAATGAAGTTAATGAAGAAGGCAGTGCCACACACCATCGCTGGAATAAGGAAAGCCCCAATGAACATTTGCTTTATCCATCGCCTTCCTGTAGGAAGAAAACATTAAACATATTTGTAATTGATAAAACATGCTGCACTTTGATTAAAGTTCACATTTTGCCACAAGTTTGCCAGAATGTAAGTAGTTAGCCTTTTTTTCCAAAATGAATTAACTGAGTACTAACTAACATACACAGGAGCAAAGGTAAACTTTTAAACTGTACTTAACTTTTAATCAAGCCTTTTGATTTCACAAACAATAACCATTCTTTATGGAAATATGGACGTGGGAGGGTAACAACTGCCTAAAATGGGAAACGCTAATAAGAAGGTGTAAAACAAAGCTTATACGTTAAAAAAATATATATATTTAGAAACACTACTGATGGGTGTTTACACATGAAATTGTTTCCTTGCATCAATAGGCACCAATTCTGTTGTAAAACGTCTAAGTGACCGGTTAAATGCAACAGGAATGGCAGCGCAGGTTTAAAACACCACACTACAATAATGTCGTTAAGACATGTGCTTCACTATTTAATCACACTGTTCAACATTATTCCCTTCCCTCCATTGCCCTGTCCTCCTCCTGTCTGTATATCTAAAGACTAAGTTTTTCAAAAGACCGGAATATAGGGTAACATTTTCAAAAGCACCTCAATGATTTAAAAGACCCATCTTCAGAAGTGCTCAAGTGACTTCAGAGCCCTTGGGCTCTGAAGTCACTTAGTAGGGCTCTTGAAAATGTTACCTATTGTCTTCATATCTCAGTAAAGCACCTAGCACTACTGGTATTAAATGATACCATGTTTAATAAACTCAGTAACAAAAATTAATTCACTATAATAGGTATCTCCAACAAGAGAGTAAGACAAGTCAACAGGTAAAGGTCTTCCACAATCCAGACAGATTGTAACAGATTTGCTGCTATGCCTGGGTATTCAAGGAACCTTGCAGACCTTTGTTTTGTGGTCTTGTGCAAGACCTCTCTGTGACTGCCTTACTCCAGTCTTGGCTGAATCTCCTGCATCTGCTACTAATCTGTGAATTTGTGCTAACTTTATTTAAACACTCAGTGTCTGGATGCATCTGTGCAGCTTACTGAATAGAATGCAGCAAAGAAACCAACATATATAGTTTCGAGAATTGCATATGGACTACAAACTTCCATTGTGCAGGAGCATCAAAAGCATTTTAGGGCTTGCCTACAGTTTTTGTAACCAATTTAGCCAGATCTGTAGAAAGCAGATAAAGCAGAAAGCAGATAAAATTAATGCAACCTTCTAGTATAGGCCTTTAGAGTAATATAGCTTGAGTTGGAGATACAGGCGTAACACCCCAATGCTGGTAAAACTGATCTGGTTTTCTACAGATGTCATTAAATTGGTAGAAAAACTGCATGTAAACAAGGCCTTAGACATTTATGACCTTTCCAAAATCTCAGATAGCAGGGAGACTGATGCTGTAGAAAATGAAGCACTGATCAGCATCTCTTGCTAAAATTATACAAGCTTCTGTTTTAAAAATTCACCAAAACCAATTTTCTTAGTGTTTAGTAGAATAAAAATAAATATTAACTATTCTCTTCTTGCAGCACAGGAGAAGGGGGAGGCTGGAGGAATGGCAGAGGCACTGCAGGTCAGAACTCAGAAGCATTGTTAGGGCTATAAGGAGAAGGCTGCTGATAGCCTGCCCAACTTTACTTAACTATTACTGTTGGACTTTTGCTGATTACCGATATTCACTTTTGCATTTGATGAAGTAGAAAATGATTACAAGCTGAATAAATGGAATGAATGTTTTGCTAAAATTCCAGGAAGATTATTCTTCATACCATAAAGAATGGCACAATGCAGTAAATAACACTGTGCACTTCTATAATCCCTTCCATTCACTCTTTGTAAACATTGAGCCTCAAGGTCCCTGTGGAGAAGGTAAAGTGATAACAGGGATCACTTCAGCCACTAAAGGTAGGGTGACCAGATAGCAACTGTGAAAAAACGGGACAGGGGGTGGGGGGCAATAGGCGCATATATAAGAAAAAGTCTCCTGAAACGGGACTGTCCTTTTAAAAACTGGACATCTGGTCACCCTAACTAAAGGCCAACTCAGGGGTAGAACACACAAGCTGTTTAACAGCACACAGGAACAGGAGGTTAGCCTATCCATTTGGTACCATAGGGGGTATTCAACAGGCAGAATGTAATTACTCAAGTTGGAATTTGACCAGGCTACCACAGTTAACATCCTTATATTCCTTATTGATTTAAATAGATACTACCAAGGTTTTAGCAAGCTTTAATACAGGACATGCAACCAAGAATGAACAGGAAATGAAGCATCATTTAGATTCAAAATCTCTTGTATTGATTAAAAACTATGGATTTCATGTGACTTCATTAACTACCTAAACACCACCTGTAAAAGACCATGCATGTTTGTGCTGTTTATACCAGGAAACAGAATAAACTTTCTATATAAAATAGTATGATAAAAATGCTGACATTTAAAAACAAGTTACCTCCTTGTCTAGCATAAAGGCTTCCTCCAAAATATCCATTCACTGGGGATGTTGCAGCATAAACAAATATAGCTGTACTAAGCATTGATCCTCGCCTAAAATAAAAAGACTTCTTTTTGTAATGCCAATAGAAATACAAAAACTCAATTTATATTACAGCAAAATATTCACAGTAAAACAGGCATAGTTATCAGAAGAAGAAATATAATTGCTATTTTTAGCTAGTGCAAAAGTAAAAGTTAATCAATTAAATGTGTCTCAAGTTTACTATTTACAGTGAAAATAACTGTTTCCATTCAAAGCTGCTCACCAGCCTCATTTGACCAGGCTAAAACAACTAAAATTAGTACATTGTGGTGTCCCCACCTCCCCCGATATGCTTAATTCCATTAGAAATAAAGGCAGAAAATATCACTTTTGACCGAAGTATTTTGATTTTTTTATAAGCCCTATGTTATAAGAACTGAACTATATAATACGTGTAGCCATTATAATAATATAGCATATTGCTCAAAACATTTCTAGTGTTAATGCTTAGTGGGAACACTTAAATTAACGTATGACATATCTGCAGATAAAGGGGAAGGAGAATTACTTACCTTGTACGGTAACTGGATTTGTTCGAGATGTATCCCTATGGGTACTCCATGTCCTGATGTGTGCACATTTTTGATCTGACATTTTCAACAGCAGTGTCTGAGGGTACAGAGGTGTACTCTTGATAGCCTCATGCTCTAGTATGCGGCTATAGGGGAGGGTGGACCCACCGCCACTTCAATTTCTTCTCAGCCATGGAAATCCAGCGGACTCCGAGGCAGAAAGGAAAGAGGGCAGGTAGCGGAGCACCCATAGCAGGGGACATCTTGAAAAACTCCAGTTACTGAGCAAGGTAAGTAACCTCTCTTTCTCCAAAGAGTGTTCCTATGGGTGCTCCAAATCAGGAGATACCCGAGCAGCAGCCCCAACTACAGAAGAGGGTGCCGAGCCTGCAGATTTGGTATGGACCACACAACAGTGTTCGTGAAAGTCGCATCAGCTCTGGAAGCAAGTACCAAACCATTGTGCATAGTGCTGGGAAAAAACATGCACAAAAGACCAGGTGGCTGCCCTGCAGATGTCTGAGACAAGTATGTTTTTCAGTAGGACTACAGTGGTAGATTGAGCCCTGGTGAAATAGCTAATCACCCTTGCAGAGGGGAGAACCCCTAAGGCTTCATAACAGGTTAAGATGCATTCTGCAACCCATTGGGACAATCTTGGGTTGGAAATTCGGATGTCCTTTGTTTCATTCTGCAATTGAGATGAAAAGCTACGGGGAGCCCCAAAGAGCCTAGTCCTATTGAGGTAAATGGCAAGAGCTCTTTTTATGTCCAGAGAATGGAAGTTCACTTCTTCTCTTAAAGCGTGAGGCTTGGGATAAATCACCAGTAGGTGAATCTCTTGATTAATGTGGAAGTCTGAAGAAACTTTAGGTAGGAAGCAAGGGTGTGGATGTAGCATCACCTGATCATGATAGAACACTACATATGATGAATCAGCAGTGAGGACCCGAAGCTCCCCTACCCCCCTGGCTGAGGTGATGGCTGTAAGAAAGTGGTATTGAGGGACAAATGAAGGAGGGAACAGTTACCCACAGGTTCAAATGGGGGCTTCCTCAGCACACTGAGGACTAAATTGAGGTCCCACAGTGGAGCTGCCTCCTTGACAGGATGAAAGAGGTTAAACAGGCCTTTGATATAGATTGTAGTGATCGGGTGGGTGAAGACTGTAAACTCCTCGATGGGGGCTGAAAAGCTGTGGTGGCAGCTAGGTGAACCTTAATGGAGTTCAGCAATAACCCTCTGGTTTTTAAGGTCAGCGGATACCCAAGCATGTATGACAGACAGGACTTGAGAGGAGGTACAAATCGGAGGCTGCTTCCAGGATAGGTGCATTTCCACCTCTGTAGATAAGTTTTCCTTGTCATGGTTTTCTGCTATTATATAGTACTGTTTGTATCTCTGGAGAGCAAGCTTTTTCTATACCAGAGAACTATCTGACATCTTGAGCTGAACCATCTGGAGATTGGGGAGGGTGATGGATCTCAACTCTTGGGTAAAAACATTTCGCTGTCATGGGAAGATGGTGAGGCAGTTAAAGAGGCATGCCAACCACGCTTGGGAACAACACCTGTCTCAACTACAACTGTGCTATGAGGATGGCTAATATTTTCTCCTGTTTCAATTTGTTTAGCACCTTGAACATTAAAGGAATCAGGAGATAAGTGTTTAGCAATATAAAAGGCCAAGGAATCATCCATAGAATTGCAGCCTTCCCCCTAAGCAGAATTGTTGTCAGCTCTCTCTCTCTCTCTGGATGACCCCAAGTAAAGATATCTCTCTCTTAACATCTCATTGTTAAGCTTCCCCTCACAGTTGATCTGGAAATGCCAGCAGGTGGAGGAGTGACAGCTTCACCTGGTGAGCAGAAGGATTTATGCAAAGGTTGTTTCTTCCTCCTCACTGGCTCCTGCTGCTTTGCAAGGTACTCCTGTGGAGCAGGACACAAGGGTGATGCTGTTGCTCCTGGCATGCCCTTTTAAGAGATGGGACCCTGCAGAACTGGCTGTCATATGGGGCCCTGGGGATTCCATAAGCATACTGTTGTGGGGCATAAGGGAAGGTAGTAGGAGTCCAAGGTTGCTGGATCTATCTCCTCATGAGATATTCCTCCTTAGGGTGTACCTCAAGGGAGGGAGGAAGGTTGGAGGAAAGGTGGAGGACCTTTATATAGACACCTCAGAACTGGATGAGGTATCATCACCCATGTCCATTGGAGGTGCAAGTGGTGTCAGTTCCAGTGGCTGAGCCGACATGGGGCAAGAAAGGGTCCTGTAACTGAATGAATACCAGAGTTCAATGCTTAATTGGCTGATGAGACAGTGCCAGAGGATGTGCCGATACTCGCTGGAAATGTCTCTTGGTACTCAAAGAGTTTATGTGGAACTGGTGACTGTGTGGGTAGGAGAGGACAAGTCACTGTTGAACATAGTAGGATCAGAGGGCAAGTAGGCTCCACGACGTGAGGTGGTACCAACAAAGCATCTCTAACTCTCAGCAACGGTGATTCAGGCTCTTCCAGAATTCAAAAGTCCTCATGGAATAGGAGCCTGAATGGTACCAGGGACTTTGGATGGGGTCCTCAGGAGTTAGTATGTCAGAATGTACTGGAGACCGTGCTGACGTGCTATCAATGCCTCCTCCTTGGCTGGATGCAGAAAATGGTACTGAAAACAAATTTTGGCTTGGCTCTGTGTCCATGTGTTTTGAAGGCACTGATTCTGGTGCTGATGCCAGTGCTGCTGTAGATTGTCTATCTGACTGCTTCTTGGTATACAGTGTAGTTGTCTTAGCTGGTGCCAGGGCCTGGATACCAGAGGGGATAAGAGCCTCAGTGGCACCCATACCAGGACATGAGATCTCCTGAGACCCAGACCAATAGGGTGACTGCCCCCTTCCTTATCTAGTTCTGGAGAATTGGGTCTTTTCTTCTTTGAGGGTCTGAGTGGTTGTAGAGGACCCCCAGGACCTTTGATAACTGCCACAGCAGAGACTGTTTCCAGGGTTCTGAACAACTGGATCCAAAGTACAAGGGGATGACTAGCAGATCTTACATTTGGATGGAAGGTGAGTCTCTCTCAGGCAGCAGAAGCAGCTTGAATATCTCTTGCTGTGGGGAAAAGACCTATGGCAGGTCTGGCAGGGTTTGAATCCCGAGCATAACCAACGCTCGAGGCCACAGATCAAGGCCCAAGGACAAAAAGCCCAGATCGGGCACACAAAGAAGAAAAGAGGAAAAAGTACCCCCCCATAGCAGAAACTGGGCTAAATAACAAAAAACAAAAAAATTAAAGATACCTAAAGAAAAAAAGAGAGAGAGAGCTAGCAAGCTGCTTGGCTAGCTAATGGACACTGACACTCCAAAAATTGCATCCTATATCCAATCTGAATTTGTCTAGCTTTAACTTCCAGCCATTGGATCTTGTTATACCTTTGTGTGCTAGATTGAAGAGGCCTCTGTCAAATTTCTGCTGACCATGTAGGCACCTACAGACTGATCAAGTCACACCTTCACCTTCTCTTCATTAAACTAAATGGACGGTGCTCCTTGAGTTTATCACTATAAGGCATGTTTTCCAGTCCTTTAACAATGCTTGTGGCTCTTCTCTGAATTCTCTCCAATTTACCAACATTCTTCTTGAATTGAACATGCAGTATTACAGTAGCAGTCACACCTGTACAATATACAGAGGTAATATAACCTTCCCACTCCAACTCAAGATTCCCTTGTTTATGCATCCAAGGATCATCATATTAGTCCTTTTGGCCACAGCATTGCACTGGGAGCTCACCTTCAGAGTGAGGGTGTCAAATTGAAGCAGAAGAGTTCAGTAGCTTTTCAAGTCGTCCTCTCATCAACATAACAGATACAGAACCATACTTGTTTTGGTCCATCCTTTGATCATTTAAGGACAAAGCAGGTTCTGACACTAAGCCACAAAAGGCAGCCCCAGAACAATTTCCTTGACCGGGTTGTAACAAAAGCAGACTCAAGCACTGCTCATTAATAGAACAGTGTTTCCTTCAATAAAAGCTGACCATACTGAGGCGGTAATCAACAGCAGAATTTCAGCCAGACCACTGTATTGTCAGAGTCACACTGTCAGAAACTCCCACTACTATTTGGTGGTGGTCTGAAATTAAGCAAATATACCAGCTGCATAAAAAAAGTCAGAATGTTAACCTACATGAGAGCCTATATGCTTCTTAAAAATAAGTTCCATATTTCTGTTTTAAAATTGGTTAACAGATGCCAATTGTGATAGTCTGCTTTTAAACTGGTTCAGGTAAAGATGACTATGTAAAACTACAGGCCCAAATTCTGCTTCAAGTGATGTTACTGTAGTCCAGAATAACTCCACTGCATTCAATGAATTCTAATTTGAAATGCTGTGCAGATATTTCTTATCCACTATTTTGACTTATATTCCAGAAGAGCCCTACTACTAAAGCTTTCCTGCAACACAATCCAATATTAACAGCTGATGTGACCAAATGCCAACCACTTGTTCTCAGGTGAAAAATGGAGAGTGCCAAGAGAGGGTTTACGGCACTGCAGAGTACATAAAATGATCACTCCGTTTAAATTAGTATGGTATATCACACTTTTCAGCCCACACCATTTTCCTACTACAGGTCCATTTTTGGATCAGGGCTTAGTAAATGCTCAATTGTGCTCTGAGAACCAGACTACTACCTCATTGTGCATGGAGCACCTGCACGGAAAAGGACAGGTAAGCATATGCAAGTGTATGAGTTCAGTTTTTTCCCCCCTCACATGTTTTATATGCATCTGATATCACTATTAGTGTGCGTTTCTAGTAGCACCACAATGTGTAAACATTACAAACATAAAATTAGGTGTGGTCCTGTCCAAAAAATGCTGGCATTCTAAAACACTTAGAATTGTATTTAATTTCCTCTTCAGCTATTCGCACCATGGGGACAATCACTGTAAAACCAAGAAAAGCACACTAGGCAACAGGATTTTAAAAATGTTACAGGGTAAGGGAAAACAAGGCAGCTAAATTTGGAAGCCGGGTTCCCTCTAGTGGCAAATACATATAGTTACAGATGACCTGCAACTGAGAATAAAGCTGAACTGAGAGGGAGAAAGTTTAGTCACTGTTTAAAAAACGTGCTAATAGTTGGTAAAATTGCTTATGTTGCAGCATATGTTGCAGTTGTTGGGTGTTGCAGCACCCAAAATATACTAATTGCTTTCCAAAACAGAGAAAACTAGTCCAGTCCCAGCAGACACAATCTAAAAAGGCAAACAAATGAAAGGTTGGGGAAGAGACAGCCACCCCCCCAAGCAACATGGTCAAGGTGATAGCTACACAACAGTGAGTTTAAGTTGGTCCACGTTTTTGTTTTAGATGAGTATTTAACGCCAATGACCATTCCTAAATATTTGTACAGGCTCCAATCAGGACTGTACTGTTCTATGTATTGCACGCACAAATTGAAGAGAGTCTCTACCCCAAGAAACTTAAAGCCAAAGTTCCCAATTCTGTGGAGACTTATGCACGTGCTTGACTTTTCTGTAATGTGAATAGTCCCATAGAATCATAGAATATCAGAGCTGGAAGGGACCTCAGGAGGTCATCTAGTCCAACCCCCTGCTCAAAGCAGGGCCAATCCCCAGACAGATTTTTACTCCAGTTCCCTAAATGGCTCCCTCAAGGATTGAACTCACAACCCTGAGTTTAGCAGGCCAATGCTCAAACCACTGAACTATCCCCCCGTCCCACTGAAATCAAAGGCACTGCTCACAAAATGTAAAGTTAAGCACATGTGTAAATCTCTACAGGAGTACAGTCCAAGTAATAAATAATAAATACTTCCTTAAAGATTAAGCATCTCACTTCAGTTAAATGTGTGACCTCAAAAAAATATCCTGAGGCGTTTTACCTCCTACAAAGTCCACTAGCAAAACAGGGAAGACCAGACTTAATTTTGATACTTCTAAAATAAAAACAAGCAATGAGAAAAGCTTAAAAGCTTTTCAGGCCTTCTTTGTTAAGACATATAGTAGCAACAAAATCAATTTCTATTAAAAACATTTGCTAGTCACCTTCGAACATTAGGAAAACACTGTTTTAGGTTTCAATTGAAACCGTACATAGAATTCATAACCAGCTTCATTTTTACAAAAAGTCTCAAGAACTTTCAGATGTGAAAGAGGGAGGTACGTCATTAACATACTTACTCTGTGTATAAATCCTCTATCATTGCAACAATGATAACTATGAAAGAAACTGCAAAGATTTGGCAACCAGAGCCAATAAGCGATGAAAATATTAAAGGATGACTGGATGGTCTAAAAACATCGCCATGGACCTGTTTCCACCCATATTCATCACCCAGATCTCTGTCCTGTGTATAGAAATATAGTTCAGTTATAAATACCATTGCCAAGTAATAATTGAGAAAAACCAAGATGCTAGGTATGAATTAAAGTCTGCCTAACGGAATCCTTAAAGCTAGATAAATTAACTCTACAGGACAAATACTCCATGAAGAACAAACATAAAATGCACAATGAAAGTCACTAGTGGAAAGCTAAATCCATTCAGAATGGTTTTACTTCCCCAACCCACAAATGTCAGTCTTTAGGGCTTTACAGAGACTTCCGAAGCACAGGGGCCCAATAGGGAGGATTTTGTTGTTTGTTTTAATTTTTTTTAAAGATAGCATGTGTAAAATTGGCACTTGTGGAATATGGCTGCTTGAAAGCTCTGGGACAAAAGCCCAAATTATCCGCACAAGAGATAGATAGATATATGTAAAATGAGTCATGGTAATGCATTTGTTCCACAATGCCCTACCAACGTGCCTCACACATGCGTTGGAGGGACCAGCTCTAGCAGGGCCAGAGGGGAGCTCAGTTTCCATACCCAGTCAGTTTTTGGCCCTTCTACCCAGGAAGGTGCCAGCTAGTGCCAGCCATGGTAATGTGAACAAATAGGAACTAGCACCTGGACTGGGTGGACCAAACATTTCATAAGCAGCAGAGTTTATGAACTCTCAGCTACTACAACCCTAAGCAGAATTCAAAGCTGCAACCCAGAAGTGAAAGGCTATTGTCTCATCACCAATCCTCTGTGCAGTCTGTCCCAACAGCTTTAAGTTTCCTAATTCAGTCCTCAGTAGCCAGCAACCGATTCTTGTAACAGGAAATTACGTTGCTCTAGTTGGGAAATCTGAAAGCCATTCTCTTCTGGAGAGAATTCCCTGACCACTTCCTAGACAAATTTTCTCCACAAATTTATTTTCTATTTTGGTGAAGAAAACTATTCATGAGCACCAATGAAATCAACACCAGAAAAAGCAATAGGTCTTACTAAAATTTTTAAGAACTTAGTGCAAGTCTTACCATATCATCCATTTCTTCTTCTTTGCTATATCGTGCATAATCTTTTCGCAATGTTCTCATTAATATCATAGACACTAAACCCACCAGAAAGATGACCATCATGAAGGAATTGAAAATTGAAAACCAGTGAATCTACAAGAAAAAAAAGACTCAATTTTAAGTACTGTAGGTACATATTAGTGCCCAATAAGAGTCAGTACAAACTATTGTGCTAAGTATCTAAAGCTTGGACAAATCCTATTAAATATAGCTTGCAAAATTTTAGTTTTCATCATGTTCCGCAACACATGTTGAATGTGTCCATTAGTCAAACTAAGCTCCTACAGAACATTAATAGTTAAATCTCAACATTTTCCTTCTTACAACCAAAGGCATTCAGTCCAGAAGATTCCCAGTCTGATTTGAAATCCCAATAGGCACTTTACTGGAACCTCGAGCCATCCTATTGAATAGCAGACGGGTCAAGTACCATTAACAGTTTTAAGCTATACCACAGTTGCAGTTGCAATATTTTGTTTCCATTTGAGACAAAACAATCAATGGTGCAAAACCACATCATAAAGTAACATGCTATTTCCCTGAGACAAAATGGGTGAGGTAATATATTTTATTGGACCAACTTCTCTTGGTGAGAGAGAGGCTTTCAAACTAACAAAGCGCTCTTCGTCAGGTCATGCTATTTAACTGTCTGCTACCTCTCCGCTCCAGAATGATTCTATTGTAAAAAACATTACCAGCATAGCTCATGCTGCAATGTCACGCATCAGACTAGGAACAGTAATCTGAGTGGGACTGAATTTTGCAAGACCTAAGGAAAAAGTTGAGCTTGACCATGGGAAACATTCCTACATCTGTTACTACATGAGATGAAATCTTGGCAAACTAGTTGTAGGTCAGGTCAAAAGTGTGGCACAATGTACAATGAAAGTTATTAGCTCTGGGAGTAACTAACATTTAATTTATTTAAAATATCCTTCCAATGCTGAATAATTCTAACCTACCTCAAAAACGTCACTCAAAAAAACCAAACACAACCCAAATATGACATTTATTAGTTGCTACCAACTTTGAAATTTAGTATTGCAGGGACTATTTTAAAATCATAAGAACATTCCTTGGGAAAATTTAGAACTTGAAAAGCAGTGTCATATTTTGCAGCTAAGGGGACCAACATACATCTCCCTGTTCAAAATTGAAAAAACACATTGACAATCAGCTAGTAACTAACATCTACCTTACCAGAAGAAGAGCTATGTAGAGAGCGCTTGTAAGTAGTTTTAACTAGAGATGTGCCCACCCCAAGTTCAGATCAAGATACAAACTTCCCCAGAGACCAGGGACTTCAGTTTGAGCTCATCTCTTGTTCTAGCACTGGTTAATTCTCTACCCGAGAAAAATAAATCAGGATTTAGCATGAAAAATGTACACTTCCCCCATACCTGTTCACTATGCTGTTAGCACTTTCAGCAGTCTGTGAAACTGTTCCACTGTCCATTAACTGTTCTCATTATTAACATGGGAAAGAAGAGCCATTTTGCCTTATTATCAAAATGACACTGGAGATTTTCAGTTATTAATATTTTCATATTGCTGCAATCATTTCACAAGTTGATACAAAGTGGAAAAGAGGCAGAGGACGATTGCCACAGCAGACAGTAAGCCGCTGATCTTTAAAAACCCCATCCAAATTCTACTCCAACTCCACCCTGAAATCCCAAATGGGACAATGGCAGTAAAAGGCTTTAGGAGAATTCGATACCATAATTCGAGCTGCTACCTGTCTGCTTCAATGAAAAGTGCAGCTTACCTGTCTAAATCAAAAGGATTGTTGTTTTTTCCCCAATTCAAAACAAAAACACAACCAGTAAATAGAGTGGGCAACTGATCGGTCCTAAGCGATACTGATTCAGCACCATTTACCTTCTTCTGTTGTGAGCATAACATTAATGCTGCTTAGGATATATCAAGGCGGAACAACTGTTTACTGTACTCTGCTAGGAGAGGGGATGGAAACAGGACACAAGTATAGCAGGGGAGCAGAGTTAAAAAGGCTACTGGGACAGTTTCAGATAGACTCAATCAGTCAGAAAGCCTCTATACAGCATTTTCTCATGAAGCAGCACAATGTGTGCTCCCTACTGCATCTCTGGCATCTTTACACTTGAGTAACTGTTCATAAGAATTCATACATGCTGCCTTCTTAACTTACTGGGTGCTGCAGAGAAAAGTTTTCCCATGAAGAGTGCTATTCCACAAGTAGCCTCATGTTAAAAATAAAATCAATTTTATCTGCACCCTTCTCAAAAGGCACAAAGCTACCTTCAAAACATTTTACCTCTCCTTTATCACTACAACAGAAGCATTTGGAGCAGCATGGAGAACTGTTCCACTGGCCTTTCTGAACCAGAGTACATTTCAAAGGAAGTTTTGTATGGTTGTTTTAGAACTACATACTCTGTGTTGAAAGAAAGATGGGTCAAGGTACTTGTCAAATCGATCTTCAAACTTCACATCTGATTTTTTCCATTTCACCTGGAGATAGAAAAGATTTATACTTGAAAAGCCCACAATACTTGCTCAGCCATAGATCCATAGGGATTTAGAAACTGTCTATGTCAGACTTTTTTCTTCAGTTTAAAAATGAATTTATGAGATAGCAAAAGGTGCTGGGCTGACAGCCCCTAAAGACTAAAATCTACAGAACAGGGACAGCATAAGCAACAGCAATGAATACTTCCCCATGCTGCCCTGCAAACTACTCCAACCCTCATCTGAGAAAGCACATGTAAGAACAAGGAAGAAGATTAGTCTTGGGTACCCGTAGGCCAGGTCCACATTACAGAGTTAGGTCGACCCAGTTGCGTTGCTCAGTGGTATGAAAAATCTACATCCTTGAGCGACATCGTTAAACCAACCAAACCCCCCAGGGTAGACAGCACTACATTGACAAAAGAATTCAATTATCGCTTCTATGGGCAGTGGATTAACTACAGTGACGGAAGAACCCCTCCTGTCGCCATAGTAAGTGTCTACACTGAAGTGCTATAACGGTGCAGCTGCAGTGCTGCAGCTGTGCACCACTGTAATGGCTTAAGTGTAGACATAGCCTTAGTCCTCAACAATGGTTCTTTTTTTTTATTGTTATATGTGCCTTACACTTTCCATTTCAAGTCCTGTTTTAGGTTACTTGTCACTTTGACAAAGCAACTGTTCAGGCAGACGTTCTCGTGCCAGGTGTCTGCCTCAAACTAAATGTTTCTGGAAAGTTTTTGCTGAAACAGTTCAGTTGTTCTTGGAATAAGATTATTAAGGAAAGACGCTTTGCCAAGTTAAAATTCTTAAACAACAGTTTCATGCAGAAGCTCTAGTACCTCTGTGTTGGAGCAAGGACTTACGTTTGGCAAGAGTTGCCCCAGATTGAGGGACATGCCTTTTCCCAGCCCCTTGAAAATCCACCCACATTTAGTCATGTTACAAGCTTTTGAAAAAAAGCATTTTGGACATGCTCAACAGAGATTTGCCACAGGGTGGCAGCTAAATGCTTCAAAGAAAAATCCATTATGTTAAGAAAATCTAATATATTAGGTAGATGTGTTGGTGTTAATAACGAAGAACTTTAAGTGTAAATGTGAGACTGTCTGTTAAAGTAAAGCAGTGTAGTGGAAGGTACACATAAGCGTGCATGTGTGTGTATGTACTGTTAGCATACAGTTCATTAAATAAACCACAACATTAAACTGGTTTTACTTTCAATACTCTTACTTTTCCTCTTTTCTGCTACATCCAAGAGGCCCAGGGGTGCTTTCCCCTCTCCTCAATCATTGGTGGGTGCATACTGAGACCTTCAGGCCAAGCTTCTTCCCAATGCCAGCAACAGCATTGGCAGCTGTGGGAACTCTCCTCCCAAGCAGGAGAGAGATGCCTCCTGGTGACAAAGCACCTCAGCAGAGCAGGAGCTGATCAGACCATGGTCCCTGTTTGCCCATTTAGGGGGAACCTTGCTCTGCACTAGGAACCGGACTAAGATACCATTATCATCTGTCACATAGGTCATTCAACTACTCATTGATGTAAACTGCCCTGGGACAAACAAACCTGTGAACTAGATATGAACGTTACTTGTAGATTTGAAATTTGATTCCAAGTACACTAGTGTCATTAGGCATGAAACATGACATAGGAAAAGACCAATATATGCACACTTTCAGACACATTTTGCATTTCTCTAAAGCCATGACAGGATGACGGCCAGGCCAAATTTCAGTGAGTGGCACTGCAATCCTGTGCATCAGGTCACAACACTCAGCCCCGTGGGACAGGAGCAGCTGCTGAGCGGTGAGTGTGGGATGGGTTCGCTCGCCAATACTCCTCCTTCCCCCAGGGCCACCGCCTCTGTCCACACAGCTCCGGGGGAAATGAATGTTTGCCTGGTTTTACACGCCTAGTTTCATGATTTCTGTGGGTGCAACTGAACCATGAACCCATATTAAAGCCACCCTGTTTACATGCTTCAGTTAGTTGTTTAAAATGCATTATATCAGCATTTAAAATGTAATTCTACAAACTGCAAGTTATAGAAAAGATGCATCTTCACTTATGATAGCTTTCCCTGTAAAAACACAGACATCAATTTTGGATATGTGAGTAACTATTCCTAATGTACTATACCCTGCAGAATTTCTTATCCCCTGTGTATATTCCTGCATTACTTACTGAATATGACATTTGGATTTTGGTATTTGGAACCAATTTGACCTTTCCTTCACTTGTCAGATTCACATCCACAATTCTATTTCCATTAAAACCAATTTCAAGTTTTTTGTAGGTCCAAAGATAATAGTCTTCCCCATTTTCATCTGCTTCACCAACAATACCTGTAGAAGAAACAAGTATTGTATAAGACACAACACGCAAATTACAAACATTTTTCAAGAGTATTTTGTGAATAATTTCATGAACATTTGATATACTATGGCACACTACAAAAATAATCTTGGTAGCTAAATTAACATTACAAAAAAAATCAGGACATACATTTAAGTCTTCCTTGTTTTTGAACTAGTGTGTTTGATAGTGTTGCACCTTCAAGCAACTGATTTGCTAGACCAGCAGACAGTGATGATATCACAGTAAATGTACAGGTGCAGATAACAAGGACCATATTAGTATTGCAAGACACAGTTTTATCGATGTTCCTTCTAACTTTTAATCTGAGTGCCAGTATAAAGTTTATGACCAAAACTTTAATTCCAATCCCTCCCCCTCTTACTTTCTCCTCTCCCTTGTTCCATCTATCCTTTCATTCACTCACTCTTTCCTCCTCTATGACTCACTTCACATTCATTCTATATCCCACATTCATTATTGCCACCTCTGCCTCATCACACTCCCCCACACCTTGGGTCCTAATTTTCACTCAAATTTTTTCTGCTGTTTGTCAGAAACAAAAGGTCCTGACTGCTCTACTTTTGCTGATGGACACTGGCAAGATCTTTCATGGCCCCATTCATCTCCATTTCCTGAGTGACAAAGCAAAACACAAACACTTAACTATTTTGCTACACATCATTTTAGGAGAAATATCCAGTCTGATCCTATCCTAATTCTAGAGGTGCTCCTCAACTCCAGGAAGAGAGGTGATCTGACACCACTAGAGAGACTGGGCTGATTGCATTATTGATTTTCATTATCTGTTACAAGTTTCTTCATTTTCATGTAGCTGCTGCAACATTTCTTCTCTGTCACACAAGAGTTCCACAGAATCCAGGGACTCTATCATAAACGTTGGGTTCAGTAGCCATTGAGTACATGGGCCTCAGCCATGGAACACATATCCTCCCTCCTAAGAATAACTTCAAGGACACATACTTCAGGTTCTTCATAACACCTCAAACAGGATGCCTTTGGCAGCTACAAACTGTGGTGAAGAGCCATGTATAAAAACATAAGAAGGACCCCAATTTTTTCATAAAGAAAACAAGATTCAGAATTGAGACGTTCTACCTCTTATAATATTAGCATCCAAAGTGTGCAAACATATAGGAAGACATGTCTAAAAAAAAGCAAGCAGGTGAAAGGCAATGGAAAGGGTTTCCCAAAGGAACAGATATATGAAAAAACAGCACTTGAAGGTTATCTATGCCCTTTATTTTTCAAGATAGTATTTTTCTTCACATCTCATTCAAGCTCCTCTGTTCAGTGTTGCCTCACGTACACCGTGCAGGAAGAACATTTGCCGATTTGTGGCTATGCTACTCAGCCTGACATCTGCTCTGCTGGTGTTGCCCAAAGCCACAACACTCTGGATCTCTAAACAGCTAAAAGGATATTCAGATCAACCACCTCTTGAAGGAGTATGTTAACACACCAATACATCCAGTCAAGGAGACTGCATGCCATAGAGCCGAGTCAGTCTATTATCTGCCATGGCTTTGTAGCAAGTCTGAAGAAAAGTATTCATCTAATTTTGCCTGGATTCAATTTAAAACAACAAAGGCTAGGTAACCTTCTAGATGTCAGTAAATCAGATGCAGTCCTTCCAATAGCAATTTGAGGTCAATGCCTTTTCATTGCCTACATACAAGAGTTATTGTAAGCTATCTAGATATCATCTAGCGAGCGCTCTTCCATTTCCAGGCCTTCCAAGCTTTCCTCCTAAGTGTAACTTCATGTGTTGATGGTGTGTCACACTGGTAAATCCGACAGTGGCCTAACAGTCGCTCCCATAGTGGACAACCAGAAGGAACAGAACATGCTGGCAGGCAAACTTCTACCATGCTCATAGGCAGAATTAGGAGAGTCATATAAAGAAGACCATTTTGATGGGAGCTCAGATTTCTTGACAGCTGTTAAGAAAAGTGGTCTGCTTTACCACATAAATTAAGCATATACTGCCTAGAATTCATAGCAGGAGGCCATGCCATTTGAATTCTATTCCCCCAAACTCTTCAGAACAGACTTGCTTTCTATTAGTAGCACATGGTAGGGCTCAGCTAACCCATTAAGGAGACACAGTAACAAGCTGAACCAAGAAAAAACCCACCAAGGCCTTGTCTACACTAGGAACATTTTACAGTGTTAAAAAATATGGTGCTTAAAATGCAGACAGGCAAGTCTACAGTAGGCCTCCCAAGGGTGGTAAACTTGTGGAAACAAGCTGAACCGATGTTAAGGCCGATGGGTAACAGCAGGAATGCAGATTCAACACAAAGAATCCCTAAAAAAATGCTAACAGGTTCCAGTTACTGAAAATCCAATTTCTGTCATTCCCAGCACTCCAAGAGAAAATGCTCACCCTCCAAGGTATTTACAGGACACTACTCACTAATATCTAGGTTCTCACCCATTACCCTATAAATTCCCCACTGGTTCTACCAATGGCTCAGCTCCACTAATGGTAGCAACAATGGAAATGCTAGTGTACGCAAGATACAGCTGGTCATTGGTGTTTGTACTGTTAGGTTCTGAGCAGGATTAATCAACATGGTGGGCTCCTGCCATTGCTGCCAGTAGAGGAAGTGAACCATTGGTAGCAACTGTGGAAAATGTTTGGTGCTATGGAAGCAGTGAGCCTGAAGCGGCTCTAAAGCAGTGCCTAAATCAAGCCACGCTTACTGTTTCACAAACTATGATCAAGCCTGAGCTTAACAAGTTCCTGAATTTGGCCCTGTCTAGACTTGCGGATAGCCACTTTTCAGCACCAGTTCAACTACACTCACTGCTGACAACCCTGTAAGCAATGGATGAATTTTCTGGTGCAGATACAGCTCAACACTGAGGGAGTGAACTGCAGCTCTGATAGTTCCACTTTGCCTTACTGGAACCAGAACCTTCTATCCTGCTGCCTTCATGTGTGATGCAAACAAGTTATACCTGTTATAATAATGGTAATCTGTGCTATGTTGATCCATTAACTATAAAAAGGTGAGGCCTGGCTCCAACAAATGCAACAACCAAGATTAGCCTTCACCATTACATTGAAAGAGGCCCAGAGTGTTCATCTGGAAGCTACATTGCAGGCAGGGATAAACAGTCTGCATAAAGCATACCATTCATTTGAAGTTACAAATAAATATTAGAATCACATTAAAAAACACATTTTTCAGCATACATAACATTTAGTCAATATATACAAGATTCACTAATTATATTAGAAATATTTCTATCCCTATTGTTTCTAGATTGCTTGTGATTCTAGCTCAAATTTGAGCATCTAGTCCTCCATTCAACTTATCTAGGTGCTCCAGTCTGAGTACTGTGTAAAACAGGGATAGGCAAACTTTTTGGCCTGAGGGCCATGTGACGGGTTGGATCACAGAACCCCTCTTAGGAGCTGCCACCCGATGTGCCAAGGCTACTTCTTCCCCCTGCTTTCCCTGCCAGCTCTGGACCCCAGCACCCTGTCTTGCTGAGCCAGACACTCCCGTCTGCTCCAATACAGACCCAGGGTCTGAATTACTTGCCCCAAAGCTTCAGGTTTACCTGAAAGCAGCTCACAGAAGCGTTCCTGTCTTTAACACTCAGATGCCCAACTCCCAATGGGGTCTAAACACAAATAAATCCATTTTACCCTGTATAAAGCTTATGCAGGATAAACTCAAATTGTTCAGCCTCTATAACACCTGATAGAGAGATATGCACGGCTGTTTGCTCCCCCAGGTATTAATACATACTCTGAGTTAATTAATAAGCAAAAAGTGATTTTATTAAATACCGAAAGTAGGATTTAAGCGGTTCCAAGTAGTAACAGACAGAACAAAGTAAGTCACCAAGCAAAATAAAATAAAACACACAAATCTATGTCTAATCAAACTGAATACAGATAATCTCACCCTCAGAGATGCTTCAGTAAGTTTTTTCCTCAGACTGGACCCCTCCCAGGCCTGGGCACAATTCTTTCTCCTGGTACAGCTCTTGTTCCAGCTCGGGTGATAGCTAGGGGATTTTTCATGATGGCTCCTCTCCTCCTCTGTTCTCTTCCACCCCTTTATATATCTTTTGCATAAGGCGGGAACCCTTTGTCCCTCTGGGTTTCCACCCCCCCCTCACTGGAAAAGCACCAGATTAAAGATGGATTCCAGTTCAGATGACATGATCACATGTCACTGCAAGACTTCATTACCCACTTGCCAGCACACATATATACAGGAAGACTCACAGGTAAACACAGCCATCTGCAGACAATGGGAGTCATCAAGCTTCCAAACCACTATTAATGGCCCACACTTTGCATAATTACAATAGGCCCTCAGAGTTATATTTCATATTTCTAGTTTCAGATACAAGAGTGGTACATTTATACAAATAGGATGATCACACACAGTAGATTGTAAGCTTTGTAATGATAACTTATGTGACGAAGTGGGGGATTTTCTTGTTTTTTCTCGTTTTCGGTGGGGTTTCAATGGTTTGCATGCGGAGGGGGGGGACTCAGTTTCCCTGGGTGTTATTGGTTTAATGAGGTGAGGGGTGAGGGAGTTTGTTGTTACAGAGGACTGGAGAGGGAACTTGGGACCCCAGCCAATGGCCTGGAGGATGGATACCCCAGCGACCGGTTGCCTGAGACCCCGACCCGGAGACCCAGCTCAGGAGTTGCAGCCGGTTCTGGCCAGTGGAAGAACAATGGGCTGCAGAGTGAGGACCCAGTGACCTAGCCAGCCGGTTCCAGCCAGAGGACAGAAGCGAGGAGAGGAGGCCCTAGTTTACGACCCTGTTCACCTGGAGAGAAGACAATGGACAGAGGCGGGGCTTGGGGCCGGGGATCTCAGATGCCGAGCTGGGAAGCAGGGGGGCTCGGGGTTGGAGAGGGGGAGCAGGCAGATCCCACCTGGATGCAGAGAGACTGGGATGTGCTGGGCTGAGGGAGGCCAGGCCT